AGGGGGCCAGAGAATATTATGGACATGACTCTCCTTCGGCTGGACACAAAGGTGTTAAGGCCACGTTTGGAGCTCTGAGCCAGGTCACTTACTGGCCAGGAATGTATAGAGACATCTCAGACTACATCCAGAGCCGTTTGGTTTGTCGTCAATTTCAGCCCACAAATCCCATCGACAGAGCTCCTCTTCAGAGCAGGGGACCATCTTCACTGGTTCGGCCTGCAATTTGATTGGGTGGGCCCTTAACTAAGTCCAGTAGGGGTAACAAATACTTCTTGATGATGACCTGTTGTTATGGATGCTGGGCTCCTGCTCCTTGAAAGACCCAGCTCTGCTCCCTATTTGGTTTCAGGACCTTGGACAGGTCCTCAGTCAAGCTGACTTTCCACTTTGGCCTGCCTTCAGCACCCCAGCTGCAAGCCATCAACTGATGAGAGCTGATGACCTAAAAGACAGCAGCTGTCAGATCTCTGGGAGAGAACCACAGCTTCACACCCTGTCCTTCGCTCCTCAGTCCTTGGATCTTTTCTAAACGGTTTTGAGTAGGATTAAGAACTTTGGTAATTCGGTTGTTGAGATAAGTAGCGCTTTTGGTTAAATCCGCTTTGTTCTAGAGTGGTTTTCGTTTTGTGATCCTTTTGTAAACATTTCTAGTCTGCTGTTAAAGCTTGAATTTTCGTTCCGTTTCCACTTAACTCATTCACTGCCAGCCGTTTCCTGATCACTAACGGCCTTCGCTGCCAGCGTTTCTCACCGTTTTTACTGTTTTTTTAAGAGTCACAGAACTTTGCGCGCTAGCATGATGTCGATGCCAAAACAATCAAAACAAAGAGGAGACTCACCTCTTACATCAGGAAGAGGCCGCGTGTTTCGAGCGTTATCCGTTCTTTCGTAATCCGTTGTCGAATTGTGATCGGCAGACGCTTTTCCGGTTTGCGCCTCACTTTTTTTACAGGAACGGCCCAAAACGATCTCCTAACACATGATGTGTTGCTTCCAGATCATGTGATCTGTGACGTATGCGGATGAAGATTGGCTTCAGGGCTGAGATGTTTGTTCTCTCAGCGCGGGGGCTCGTTCTGATGCTCAAACAGTAAAAAAATGCAAATGACGACTTTAGTAAACAGAATTACATGTAGCCGTTGAGATTTGTTATTTTCCTTCTGGTTTTTATGTAGCTCCGGCATTTCGTTAAAATATAGGATAAACCACTCGTTTCTTGCTTGAGGCCTTTTGCCTTAAGTGTTTTGTGTTCTTTCCCATTGCCCTTGTTTATTTTGAATAGGCAAATTCGGTACCCATCCCTAGGTAGCATCCAGCTCTGGGTCCAGAAAAGGCTTACTTGTCGCATGCAGCCGCAGACCTAAAAGTTCATCCCGGGTATACGTGTAGACCGGTAGGCCATCACCGCTCCTGACTCGCAGTGTTTGCACTGGGTGCCGGCAAATCACTGCGCACAACCACACAAGGAGCACCAGGATACATGTATCGAAAACAGCCATGATGTGTAGTTGGAGCAGATTCCAATTGGAGAAAAAATTCAAAGAAAATTCAAGAAAAGTTGCTACAAATACAATAAACAATAAAAGTAACTCCACGCTCTCACACACACACAAGGCAGTGTCGCCAGCTCAGGGGGGTGGCACCACAAAAGCTCGTTGATGGACGGTAAAAAGACAGTTTACACCCGTTGAAACTCCAGTGAAGGTAGTCAAAACAAGCCAGTTTGTAGCCTTTTATAGTTTATTTAGTTGATTGACAGTAAAATGGTTTTAGCTTGCTGCATGGTCGGCTGCACTGAGACAAGGATGTAAACTCAACTCTTTTTTTTTTTTATAACTTTGATGGAGACTGAGGACAGAGATGAACCGCAGCGATCAATCAAGCGGACAAGCAGCCCTCAGATTTGCAGCGAACATGTTTTTATCGGTAAGATAAACGTTCCTTTATTTCACGAGGAAGACAGGGACAGGGATAAATGTGATGTGTTTATACGAGTTGTTGATAATCCTGATGGACGGGTATTTCACCACGGAGGCTGCGCTCCGTCCACTGTAGTGTAAAGAGAGACAATTATTAACAATATTAAAGCTCCGATGTATGATTACGTGTGTTAAAATTACGTTATTTATTTATATGAGCGTCAGCGTTCAGAGATCTTCTCATTTCGGTGTGAGAGCAGCAGCTGAGCCCGGTAACACCACCAGCAACAGAAGCTGGTAGGGATCCGGACTTTTTAACAATCAGCTTTGGTGTGAAGTGAAACGCTGTTTATAACATAAAGTTATAAATCCAGAGGGGTGAATTTAGGCAAAGTCAGCCACATGTTTACATCGGTGAACAGCTGCAGAGAGAACGTAAGATAACGCTGGTAAGCTAGTTAGCATACCGCTAGATGCGCTACTTCTTCCGATAACTGAACTGGGCATGAACTAGTTGAAGGAATGCTGGAGGAGTTTTGTTTTTGTTTTGATTGCAAAAATTATTTCAGGCTCTACTTTTCCCTTTGTTTAGTACTCGTGTCGCCCACTGTTTACGTGCTTATGCCGTCCACCATGGTGGACCCACGTGATTAGGTGACGTCGGTGCAAAGGGTCAATTGCTGCCAGAGGCTCGTCATATGACCTGTGCCAAGGTGGAAACCTAAATCCCCCCCCCCCCCCCCCGCATTATATGACATTTGCAGTATATTTATGCAAAACATATATTTTTGGTGACAGGGTGGTTATGGTTAGGGTGAGGGTTGTTTATTGTGATTGGGTCGTTTCCACTCGCAGCTGGGTACAAAATAAACAGATCTTGGGGGGGGAGACACATATGGACGTAACCAGGCACGCAGATAGGGTGGGGGTCGGGGTGGGGGGGATCTGTCCCCCCCAGATTCAGATCGACCCCGATCCATCCCCCCCCCCCACCCCCCAACTAAGTCCAGAAAGAAAACAACATCGGAGGTTAAGCCCTTGAAGCTCCTTTTCCCCAATTACATTGAATGCAGCCTGACGTAAACAAACACCGACTCCAGAGGCGCCAAAGTGGTTGCTGCTAGGATGCAGGATGAGCAACGATTACTGCGTATTTAAAAAAGACCAACAGTGTAAGTAGGCGGGACCGATCTGTCTGTTTATGCGTGTTGGTTCTAGTTTCAGTACGTTGTTGTCAGTGTTGGTACTTACTCGTTATAAGGGCCAAAGCCTCATTGCTGACTTTAACAAGTCTCATCTACAAATATGATCCCTCATGAAGTTACTACTTTACACCAGAAGATGGTAGAGATGTGGAACCTTCAGGCTGAGCAAAGTTTGAGAGTTTTTAGAGTTTGAAAATCGCCTCCCGCCGAGAGGATCCCAGTCGGGGAGAGGAGGAGATAAGTGCAGCATGAAGAGCGCAAATATGAGATAAAACGTATAATTGCCAGCAGTTCTGGTCTTTGTTGACTGATCACTTTGTCTGGTAATGACTGACTCTGATTATGAAGCAGAATATTGACTCTGATGAAGAAATTCACTCATCCAGCCGGGAAGATGGACGCTGCTGCAGCATCAGAGAGCTGGTGCTGCACGACAGGTGTGTGGAGGTTACAAGCTCCAAACGTTGGGTCTGATGTTGGTTTAACCTTCTCTGGGACGTGATGGATGTAGAAATGATGGTAAAACACCGCTAATGTGACAGACGTAGCGACAATGTAAAAAAAAATAAAAGCCGTAAAAGGTGGCAGATGCAGATGCATAAAATATGGAAGTCAAGTGTGCCACATAATCATAAAAAGTACAAGATTACATTTTAAAAGAGATTTATATATTTATACATAAATTAAAACTTTCCAAATATTATGAAAATTTCTAAATAATGTAAAAATACAAAGGAACATCTGTTGGTCAGGCTGAAAAGTTTGGGAACCACTGCTCTAAGTGATAGGTGAATATCGTTTTTTAAATATATTTTATGTGCAGTTTTTTAGGGCTGTTATGTTTTCTGTAAGTATCGGTGTGCTGAAAATCATTGAATGTTTTGCATAAAGCATGCGGTTTGGGTTAGTAACTGATTGGAAGAATAACAAATGACTGAATTAAATAGTGGGGCGCCTGTCAGTGCGCCCCAGGGCAGCTGTGGCTACATCGTAGCTCATCACCACCAGTGTCTGGATGTGTGTGTGAATGGATGAACGATACACTGGTGTGTAAAGCGCTTTGGAGTCCTTACTCTGAGAGGCGCTACACAAGTGTGGGTCATTTATCATTTATATTGTTGATCGGTCAGAGCTTTGTTGCATAATGGCTTCAAACACGTATATAATAGTTAGTTTTTACGTAAACCGTTGGATGAAATTACACAAACTGACAGAGCTTAAGGCACTTGCAATAGTTTGTGTATGAGTATGTGTGTGTGTGTGTTTGGGGGAAGGTACATTGGAACTTTGTCCCCCCCAGTTTGAAAATCCTATCTGCGCCCCTGGGCACTTATTTTTTTTCCCCACTTCAAGCACTGCCACCAGTAGTAGGTTTAAAAAGCTGCTAACTGTGTCTAAATCACTGGATTAAAGCTACTGTGCCAACTTTACTATCAGATTCGTGTGTGTTTTTTGATCAACTTCCAACATGAACGCATTTCAAAAGACAAAAATCGAAAACAAAACAATTACGTAGCTCGCTTTTCTTACGATTTAACGACCGACATGAAATCAGACAAAACTCCTCATCGGGCTTTTTTTTTTTTTAAGGAAGCTGTGAATTAGAACATTTAGCTTCCGTGTGGAGACTGGGAGCTTTGGTAACATTTCCGCGTCGTTACTGGCTGGTAAAACCAGCTCACGAGGTTTCTGAACTACCGGCTTCCGCCCTGAACACCACGGAGCTACCATCAGGTAGCTACCATCAGGTAGCTACCATCAGGTAGCTAACATCAGGTAGCTAACAGCTGGATTTACCCTGAAGTCTCCCTGTTGGTGAGCTCCAGGCGGGTTACGAACGTTATGACGATAGCTTAGATGTAATAAAACTTACCTGGGATGTTAGAAAAGTGAGCGAAAACAGCACGACTCCCAGAGCTTCTTTCATTTTCATCATTGTCCTTCTTTCGCCGTGTTTTGGAGCTTCAGTGGCTTTGATTCACGTCTGTGCGGAACTAAAACATTTTTAGAAATAAAACAGAGTTTTCCCCACTGACAACCGCCAGCTGGTTCCTGTCTTGGCCTGTGACACGTGACACGCTGACTGGCCCGTTTGCTTTCAGTTCCCCTCGTTTATGTCGCTACCACTGGGGTTCGTTCCTTTTGCAGGCACCCGGGCTGCAAATTGGATAGACGTGCTTACGAGGAGGCTGCCTGCAGACAGAGCCAGGTGTCACCTCAAAACAGAGAACTAAATTTATGTTATTAAAAATTTTAACCGTTAAATATGCAAATGAGACATTAAGTTACTAAAGGCCACTGTGCAGCTGATGCCTTATTTTGAGTGGGGCAAACTCCGCCCACACGGTTGGCCGTTTATCAGCCGGGTGTTAAATCATGTATACTGCATAAGGGTAACTGAACTTTAGTAAAACTACAGCAAAAGTACTATTCGTACTGTATTTTTTAGTCTGAATATAACATAGAAGTACTCAGTTATATTACAGCTGGTAATCTGTAAATTTACCAACACACTAGGTCACTGCTTCTCTTCTCCTGTACCAGTTTCTTTTGTTTATGAATTACTTTCACCTACTCATCTCACAGTTCTTTTTGATTCCAATGGAAATCCACAGTTCCACATTATCTGTATCTAACCAAACACTAGTGCATTACAGCAGGTCTATGTCCAAACAATTCTGTAACTCTGCAGCTGTGGCCCTTTCTATTTTTGGGTGGTGTGTACAAACGCTGCAAAATCTTGACTTACTGTTGGTGACGATTTATTTATTTATTTTCCCTTTGGTTGGTGACGATTAAAGCTGATCGTCCATGTGAAGTCAACCAATAAAGCCCTTAGCATCAATTAGTTAATAGCAGCACAGCTGGCAAGCCTGTTATCTCAGCTTTATTAGTGTCACCTGACTGCTTTTCCATGGAAAGATTATAAGATGGAAAACCAGCTGGAGAGTCTTCCTGGTAGTAACTCGAGTCTGACCATTTGCATGAAGATCATTTAGTTTAGAATAATTTACAATAATCAAACATGTGGCCACTACCTTAAAACCACATCCCTGTTAATCTTTCCTGTGTTTCACACCTGCCCTTTTGTAAATGCTTTTTGTGTAACATCTGGAATGTGTGCAAAACGCTTTCTGATTATTCACCTGGTGTTCTTTAAACTAACATCATGAATAAAATATTTAGTGAACATATTGATTTTATTTAACATAAAGATATCCCTTTGACTTAGAGGACAGGGTTTTACTGAATAAGACCAGAGGAAAAGTGACAGCATGCTGTTTGGGTCAGAATGTTCCCTTCCTTCCGGTCTGAATCTGTCTTCTCTGCCACCAAGGACGCCAAACAGACCTTGGTGTTTCACCTGTTCTTAAAATAAAGTATTAATTCCAGAATGTTTATGATTATTTTGATTATGATTATTAATATGTGTAGTAGTAGTGAAATTTAATCAACAGAGAAATTATAACTGATGCCAGGTAGGAAAAAGCAGAAGTACTTCCTTTCATTTCTCCACCTCACCCACAGGTACCTCAATTTCTGCCTCTGTGAAATTGCGCTTCCTTGGTCTGCCTTGATCTATGGTCGCCGTGTCATTGGCGGAGCGCTGCAACAGCCGGCTTATGTATATGCATGAGATCCACAAGGCACTTTGCATTGACTATTTATGGAAGTAAGTGGGCGTGGTGAGGGCGGGATGCGACTAAAATGCAGCTGAGAAACATTCTCGTTAGTCTCTGATTTATGAAGCGGAGATTGCGTGCAGCTGTGCATACTCCATGTTTGATAGATCACACACCTGCTTGGCGTAAGTACATTTTCTGCTGAGCTTAAGTACGGTTTTAGTAAGAGTTCTACTCGATGTTTGATAAATGAGACCCCTGCTCATTAAGCCAATCAGTAAAAAGTTTCCTATATAAGGAACCCAGCAGGTTGCATCGAGTCACTGACTATTGTCTTTACAGCAATCCTCATACTAAGCTTGCATGTAGCGATAGTCGTTGTCGTTGTCATCTTCCTCTGCTTATCCGGGTCCGGGTCGCGGGGGCAGCATCCCAACTAGGGTGCTCCAGACCGTCCTCTCCCCGGCTTTCTCCACCAGCTCCTCCGGCAGGACCCCAAGGCGTTCCCGGACCAGATTGGAGATGTAACCTCTCCAGCGTGTCCTGGGTCGACCCGGGGACCTCCTGCCGGCAGGACATGCCCGAAACACCTCCCAGGGGAGGCGTCCAGGAGGCATCCTGACCAGATGCCCAAACCACCTCAACTGGCTCCTTTCGATCCGGAGGAGCAGCGGTTCTACTCCGAGTCCCTCCCGAATGTCCGAGCTCCTCACCCTATCTCTAAGGCTGAGCTTTTTGGTCATTACCCAAAGCTCATGACCATAGGTGAGGATTGGGACATAGATCGACCGGTAAATCGAGAGCCTGGCTTACTGGCTCAGCTCCCTCTTCCCCACAACAGATCGGCTCAGCGTCCGCATCACTGCAGACGTGGAACCAATCCGCCTGTCGATCTCCCGATCCCTCCTACCCTCACTCGTGAACAAGACCCTGAGATACTTAAACTCCTCCACTTGAGGTAGGACCTCTCCTGCGACCCAGAGTTGGCAAGCCACCCTTTTCTGGTTGAGAACCATGGTCTCAGATTTGGAGGTGCTGATCCTCATCCCAGCCGCTTCACACTCGGCCGCGAACCTACCCAGCAAGAGCTGAAGGTCAGAGCTGGATGAAGCTAGGAGGACCACATCATCTGCAAAAAGCAGAGACGAGATTCTCCTGCCACCAAACTCGACACACTCCACACCACGGCTGTGCCTAGAAATTCTGTCCGTAAAGATAATGAACAGAACTGGTAACAAAGGGCAGCCCTGGCGGAGTCCAACCCTCACCGGGAACAGGTCCAACTTACTACCAGCTATGGAGACCTAACTCACGCTCCTCTGGTAAAGGGACTGAATGGTCCTTAACAGAAAGCCACCCACCCCATACTCCTGGAGCATCCCCCACAGGCTGCCCCTGGGGACACGGTCATAAGCCTTCTCCAAATCCACAAAACACATGTGGATTGGCTGGGCAAACTCCCATGCCCCCTCCATCACCCTTGCAAGGGTATAGAGCTGGTCCACAGTTCCACGGCCAGGACCAAAACCACATTGCTCCTCCTCAATCTGAGATTCAACTATCGATCGGACCCTCCTCTCCAGTACCTTAGAGAAGACCTTTCCAGGGAGGCTGAGGAGTGTGATCCCCCTATAGTTGGAACACACCCTCAGGTCACCCTTCTTAAAGATGGGGACCACCACCCTGGTCTGCCACTCCACAGGAACGCCCCCCGATGACCACGCAATGTTGCAGAGACAAGTTAACCATGACAGCCCTACAACATCCATAGCCTTGAGATACCCAGGAGGAGCCTCATCCGCCCCCGGAGCTCCGCCGCTGTGTAGTTGTTTGACTACCTCAGCAACTTCTGCCCCTGAGATTGGACAGTCCATCCCCAGGTCTCCCGGCTCTGGTTCCTCCTTGGAATGCGCAAGGTGGGATTGAGGAGCTCCTCAAAGTATTCCTTCCACCGTCCGACTATAGCCCCAGTTGACGTCAGCAGCTCCCCATCCCCATTGTATACAGTGTGAGCGAGTTGCTGCCTTCCTCCCCTAAGGCGCCGGACAGTTGGCCAGAACCTCTTTGGAGCCGATCGATAGTCTTTCTCCATGGCCTCACCAAACTCCTCCCATGCCCGAGATTTTGCCTCCGCAACTGCCACTGCTGCACCCCACTTGGCTATCCGGTACCTGTCTGCTGCCTCCGGAGACCCACAGACCAGCCACGCCCTGTAGGCCTCCTTCTTCAGCCTGACGGCTCCCCGAACCTCTGGTGTCCACCAGCGGGTACGGGGGTTGCCACCACGACTGGCACCGGCCACCTTACGACCACAGCTAGCAACAGCCGCCTTGACAATCGCAGAGTGGAACAAGGCCCACTCGGACTCAATGTCCCCCACTGCTCTTGGGACGCGGTCAAAGCTCTGCCGGAGGTGGGAGTTGAAGACCGTCTTGACAGGTTCTTCTGCCAAGCGTTCCCAGCAGACCCTCACTATGCATTTGGGTCTGCCAGGTCTACGCGGCATCTTCCCCTGCCATCTGATCCAACTCACCAACAGGTGGTGATCAGTTGACAGCTCTGCTCCTCTCTTCACTCGGGTGTCCAAAACATGCGGCCGCAGGTCAGATGATACGACTACAAAGTCTATCATCGACCTGCGACCTAGGCTGCCATGGTACCAAGTGTACCGATGGGCATCCTTATGTTCGAACATGGTGTTCATTATGGCCAAACTGAGGCTTGCACAGAAGTCCATTAACGAAACACCACTCGAGTTCAGATCAGGCGGGCCGTTCCTCCCAATCAAACCCCTCCAGGTCAAGCTGTCATTGCCCATGTGAGCATTGAAGTCCCCCAGCAGGACAATGGAGTCCCCTGATGGAGCACTATCTAGCACTCGTCCCAGGGACTCCAAAAAGGGTGGGTACTCTGAACTGATATTTGGCCCATAAGCACAAACAACAGTCAAAACCCGTTCCCCGACCCGAAGGCGTAGGGAAGCTACCCTCTTGTCCCCCGGGGTAAACCCCAACACACAGGCAGAGAGTCTCGGGGCTAACAAAAAGCCAACCCCAGCCCTCCGCCTCTCACCCGGAGCAACTCCAGCAAAGGAGAGTGTCCAACCCCTCTCAAGGACTTGGGTTCCAGAGCCAATGCTATGTGTCGAGGTGAGTCCAACTATATCTAGCCGGTACCGCTCAACCTCTGCCACAAGTTCCTGCTCCTTCCCCGCCAGTGAGGTGACGTTCCATGTCCCAAAAACCAGTTTTCTTGTCCGGGGATTGGACCGCCAAGGCTCCCGCCTTGGTCTGCCACCCGATCCACACTGCACCGGACCCTTCATGTTCCTCCTGCGGGTGGTGGGTCCACAGTTGGATGAGCCCATGTATCCGGTTCGGGCTGGGCCCGGCCGGGCCCCATGGGCGAAAGTCTGGCCACCAGGTGCTCGCTCACGGGCCCCAACCCCAGGCCTGGCTACAGGGTGGGACCCCGGTAACAC